TATAATAGTCGACCCTCAAATAAAATATAATAACCAAACGCATAAGGAAATATCCTTGTCCACCCCAATAATTAAAGTAGTCTGGACTGCCAGTATAACCGAACCGAGTTTATTGCCAACTACAGATCAGCATTGTATAGTTTATAATATTATAATTTATAACCGTGTGTTGGTAAATGTAATATTCCATATTATTATTTGCGGTCACAACTATAATACGTGTGTGAGGTGTGACGGTCAAAGGACAAAGTTGAAATCACGATTACAACTGTAAAAGTACGTGATTTTTAGGAGTTTTATGTTTTTGGTTTCGTGTTATCATGACGTTAGGGTATTCAGCCAAATGTTAGGTATATATTATGTGCAGCACTCTCGCGCTCCCTTTGCCGGCTGCGGACCAATCGATTGCGCCAAATACAATGCGCAAAAATGTCCCGAGGTGTGTCGCTTTTGGCCACCGGAGGGCAGGAACATCAATAAAATGCGGTTCTTTTATAACACACTGGCTTGTGGGGCTTATAATTAAACACGTGCTCAGAGTTTAACAGTACCTAACCGTGTTGTATTACTCATACAAGTTAAAATTAAATTTAAATTAAAAATTAATGCATTGAGAGAAATATAGTACCCACCTATATATTAAAGAGTTGGTAAAATTATTGAATATAACATAAGTAGGTACCTATGTAATAATAAGACGTGTTCTACTATTAAAACCATTTTAGACTGTTTCTAGTAATCTTATTTTTTACTTCGGTCTTATCGGTTTTAAATTGCTATTAAATATGTAAAATTAATTATGTTTATTATATAGTTTTGTAGTTTTTGAAAATAATTAAACCTATTATTAAATAAATAAATAGAGCAAATATCAATTATAATATGTCATTTAAATCATGCAAAATATATTATAAATTATTTAATGACAGCTAATATATGATGAACATTGCACTATAGACTTTATTGATAAGTCCATTTTCAAATAAGCTATTAAGCTATTTTAATAGTTTATAATTTCATACTTATTTTAACTACATACTTACTGTATGGCTAATGGCATATAATAATATTATATGGTATTATTATTAATTTACTTATTTATTCGATATAAAAATCTGTGTTTTAGTTTAATTTTAAATTTTTGAATAATTAAAAACAATATTGTATTTATTACTAATTTATTATTTTATGTATTAATTTTAAGTTAATATAATATAAGAACAGCTCCCCCAGCCCAAGCTTTGCTTTGCTTTTAGGGGGTCTTGCAACTAACTATTTTACGTATTTATATAATGTGTCTCATGTTGTTTTGCAAAATAAAGTATTATTATTATTATTATTATATACATACCTGATACCTATGATATGTGTAGACCGTATATACGTATAAATTAAATAACTTTGCTTGAAGCAAGTTTAAATCATCAAAGTAAAATACACTAATCTAATTTTACTTAAAATACAATAATTTCTAAACGGAAAAAAAATATTAATTATTAAGTGTAAAACTATTAGACTTCAACGTGATACGCACAACAAAAGATAAAACTATTTTAGATACGTAGGTAATTTATTTGTCTCTTCCACACTTACAAATATTTTAAGAGTTGCATAATTACATATACCTACCTATCTACATAAATAATTCTGTAAATTCATGTTTAATATTATGTTTAAAAAACATATTATAATTTTTCGAACTTTTTAGTAGTTTTGGAGAAATATGGAAGATAAAAATATACAAAAGTATCCATTAGGTATATTTCATAAAATATTTTTTTTAAAACAAAGCTTTACTTAAAATATTTATTTCGATGTAAGATTTATTGAAGGTACCTACATGTTATTTAAGAAAAATATTTAATGATAAAAAAATAATTATTATTATTGATTTCAAATTTAAAGACACTCGTCACTCATTATACCTATTAGTGACAACGATGCCATCAAATAGGTATACCTAATTTAAATTATTAAAATGTAGTTTAATTTTGAGTTAAATGCATCTGTATAGGTACTATTATATCTATGATATAAATACAACTATACAATACATATTATTGTATGGAAGTCTATAAAATTAACAGTTATATAATTATAACTATAAGCTCAATTTTTCACTGAAATGGTTTATATTATTATGTAAATGTCATAATGCAAAACTAATTATATGGTCTACGCCAGACTGGTCAGTAGTCAGCTAAATGTACGTTGCGGTGCAGGTTGGTCCGGGGAACAAATAATACATACTAATAATAGTTAATGATGATGATTATTAATATTTATTTATATTCATTTATTTTATTCTAAACGTAAAATATATCATTTTGGTTTTCTATGCGTAAATATAACATTTGTAGTCAAATATGTACCTATTTACAATAATATAGGTATTAGGTTACCTATATTATAAATAAATAAACACAATTACATACATTTAAATATTATCATTCTTGGTAATTTCTATTAATTTGGAAAACATTAAAATGTGAAAAAATTGAAAAGTCATGGCTTAAAAGAGATTGAATACTTCTGGTCTACGTTGATCTATGTACTTACTGTCTTATTAAAATAAATACTCCATTTGCAGAACACTTCTACTTAGTACTAGTACCTCATTAATGTTACTCAGATTTGTACAAGTTAATCTGTATAATACAAGTGCATATTATGTTAATTTTCACATGTGGAACATTTTACTTAACACGTGAAGAATATAATATGCTTGGTTTGTTCACATCATTTTTAAATATGTTGAAGTCATAAACTCCCAGTATTTTATATCGTTAATATTATGTGTTGTAAATTTATATTAAGTATTTATAGTAATAATAATGGAACAAATTAAATTGATGCCATCTTGTTAAACAGTTATTGTGACTATATGGTATATAATGTTAAATAATGTTTCATAATAAATGTGTTTCATATTGAATGATTAGATTATTCCCTTCAGTATATTATATTAAAATAACATCCCAATTTGGAAGTGGTCCGTTATAAACTGCAGTGTGGGCGACAATCATGCCACGTGCGTGCTCTTTTTTTTAGCCACACAAAATCCTGTTGTTATATCAAATTTATTCGAGTCTTTAATAGATTATTATTTAACATCAATTTTATAAACCAAAAATGATGTTTATTATAATGAATTATAAAAAATATTCTGATTTCTAGGTCATACAACTATTGTCATAAAGGTACACGGATTCTGATATTGAAGAACTAATTTATCATTTGAAAATAAATTGAAGTATATTTTTCTAAAGTGATTTTGAGTATAAAGACATGATATTTTAATACAAGATTACATTCTGATATCATATTAATTTTTATATTTATAATACATTTCAAGGCACTCATAAATTTTGTTGTTAAAATTATGGAAAAATAAAATATTTCATCCAAGTTTATACTATATCGTGCATTCAGTAGGTATCCTAAATATTACATTTATAAAATATGTTAGTATTTTATATTCTCCTTTTTTTTTGTAGTTTCCTATTCAATTTTAAAATGTTAAATGTCACCTTTTAAATGAATCTATATAGAAGTATGATTCAGTATTAAAAATTGAGTCACTATAAAATTATTTTTTTAGTTTTTTTTTAAGGGTTTTTTTTATTATTTTTTTATTACAATACCTATAATAATTATTTATTAAAAGAAAAACTGTAATCAATTACAAAGTTACAACAATGGTATCCAGGTGTATGAACTCAGCATAGCGAATTATCCGTGGTAATCAAATGTGTAGCATATATAGGTTGAATCTAATGAATAGTAAATGTGTGAATAGTTCAAAATAATGTATGAAGAATAAAAACATGTAGGTATAATTTATTTGTGTCATATTCTATACTAATATATTATATTGGTACATAAAACAATTATCCAGAATTCGAGATATTTATGTTGAAATAAAATAGAGTTGGTAGGTTAAAACTACAGGTTTTTTTAATAGTGAGAAAAATATTTGGTAGGTACCTTATAAATATAATATCTCACTTTTTAGTATATAGGTACAATATTATTTTATTAGATACTGGTACTTATGACACTGGGACAGAACGTGAAAATTCGCAAAATTGTTTTTCTCATTAGTATTTATCCTAGAACTGTCTTGAGATTTGTGAACATATTTTGTCGAAGAAGCATTTGCTCGGAAAAGTATTTTGTTTGAAAACTATTTACTCAAAATCATAGGTAGGTTAATATAAATTTGGAAACGTGTATTTATTTGTAAATGTATTTTGTTGGAATAGTATTAGCTCAGAAAAGTATTTGTTTGGAATCATATATATACCGTAATACCGTATAATATAATTTTCAACCAAATATTTTCATGAAAATTAGTTTCTGAATCAATATGATTCCAAAAAAATATTAAATATATTGTTTAGTATAAATGTATAATATTATAGTTCAAAAAACCTAATATGTTTCCAATAGAATATTGTCTATAACATTACGTTTCCTCGATCGAATTCTTTTCTGACTTGCCCAATATATTTCTACGACAAACAGATTATGATTCAAAAGTAATAATATTGGTACAATAAAATACATTTTAAATAAATATTAATATTTGTTGTCAACTGGCAATTTTTCCACAAAAATATGGTTCCGAATGAATGAATTTCGCTTTTTGTATAATATATAATTTAAATAAATAATATTATACCCTGTGTATATTGAAGAGGATAATATAATTAGATGGTTTTGAAAAGTTTTATATTTTTTATGTATTGTGATATCTATATATAGAATTCTGTATAGGTACCTACAATTTTGAAGTCTTTAAATGTTACAAATAAATAAGCTCCTTATAAGAATTTAATAAATTCTACTACTTAATATTTTTTATAGGATTACTGCACCATATTATAAACTATGGTGCAATACTATTTTATACCCTGCAAAAATACTTTACTGATATTCAATAATCAATATCAAATATCTTTTGTATAATCGTAGTAACGTAAAATATTTTATTACAGATGGCATTATTAGTGGAATCACGGTCGTTTCGGCCGTTCAAGTCCAGTGAAGAATATCTTTACGCTATGAAAGAGGATTTAGCTGAATGGCTGAATGGTTTATATCCTGAGCTCTACATAAACGTAAATAACTTCATGGATAGACTTGATACCGGCGTGGCTTTGTGCAAGGTAAAGTTATATTCTATCATTATTATTAATCTAAATTCATCGTGAATCATGATGCATAAGTGGGATATAAATTAAAACATAAACTACTGATAAAATATTATAGGACTGAATCATCCCGTTATAATTTAATAATATGCCACTATCCACTAAATACATTTACAGTCTATGTTCTAAATAACACTATTCAATATATAAATATATAAGATGTAAGCATCTACCTAACAAATTTCAATGTTTTGCCGGAATCAGAGTTGGAATGTACTTGGCATGGATCTTACAATGTTGAGTTTTAATCACTCTGGAAGATTCTATTTAAAAAGGTCATTCCTTTTTAATGACAAGTATTTTTAAACTATATACCGCATTCTTTTCTTCAAGTCTACTTCTAGATTTAGAATAAATAACTAAATATATCGATGTACCTACTTACATTGTACAATGTACGTGAACACGCGTTCAGTATGGAAATAAATTTGCATTAAATAATAATCTCGATAAAAATATTCTAATATTGTTAGCTCAACTTAACAAAACAGAAAGAAATACTTTTTTTTCACACATTTATTTACATTTTAAGAAAAACTTTTACTTTTGTTTTAAATAAATATAACGTGTTTTGATATCAATGATTGCTCACTGAAATGTATTTTCATTAATTTTTCTAGTTAGAATCTCTTTGTTTTTTAACGATGTACTAAGTAAGTAGGTACTCAATTGCTACACATTTTCTAATATAAAAATATTTGATAATAATATGTAATACATTTATCATATGATTGTTTTATTAAAATAAATGTACACGCATATAACCAAAATAATAATAATTAATCAAATAAAAAACAAAGCAGTTTATGGTTGAATTACATTATATTATCATTAATTGGCTCGCATCGTCTTTTCAAAAAATTAAGACCATAATTATTTGTAAACGCTTGTTACTAAATTGTTATTATTAATTTCTAAATTTAAGTAAGAGTAATGAATGATTTACTATTTTTTTTTTATCTCTCTTGAGTCTTGACATTGAATAAGATTATAAATGAATTGAAGAGTTATGTATATTGTTTAAAGAACACTGATGAATAATTGTGTTATGTATTTGTTTGACACTTTAAAACGATCATATACCTACTTAGAGGAAAAAACCCAGATGACTAATTAGTAATATCATTGATTATAATAAGATTATAATTGATTAGTGTTAGTATTCATAATTAATGGTAATATGTTATGTAAATTTATGATCATACAAAATTGAATCACAAAATTTTTTTTTTCTATATCAGTAAGTACTTTTATAATTTTAATCATACTTTAAATAAATATTTAGGATACATAATACTTAGCCAACGTATAAAAAATACAAATCGTGTTTGAAACACTAAATTAAACATATATTTTTGTTATTACTATTTACTATATAATATACTAAATTATTATTGACAAATATCGTTTTCATCATTGTTCGGATTATTTATTCGTCTCGATTCACAATTAGTTTTAACTATTTTAAGTGGTCTTGATGAGGGGGCCTATAGATAAGTGGTTATTTCCTCTATCTAGAATCTATTCAATTAATCAGGTATAATTTAAGGCAATCTGTAAAAAAAAAGTTATTGTTTTAAAAATTATTATTGCGTACCTACCTATTATAATCAATCATTAATCTGCATGTGTATACATACAACTATTCACTTATTATTTGTACACATATACGGGATAGTCAATTACCGACTACAATTATTATACATTTAAGTGCTATTATAGGCACTCGGATAGGTCCTTATTCCAGTAAATCGTATCGGTTATATTCACTGGATATTATATATCTAGTTTCTGTTCCGCATACCACCAAACGCGTTACCTACGCCCGTACAGTATACGATTGCAGCACGATTTTCTCTTTCCTGTAGGAAATCACGTACAACGTGCTGCGTCCATTTATTGATGGTCTCCATTATGTGTTTAAAACACCTTAATGGATTAACGGCCCTTATATTCTACCGGTGAAAATTGACAAACAACCCATGTACCTATTCATACAAGTTGTTTTATTATGATTATTAAATTCATATAAACATCTTTCCGCATTGAACTACTTTGATTAACGGGATTTTAGGGTAGTGTTATGGTTCGTTTTCTCTTATGCATTATAATAATATTAATAATATTATCAGTTTTACAATTGTATACATATATTATTATTGTTTATTGAAATAATGCATTTTGTTGACATAATCCACTGTAGTTATGCATAAATTGCATACAATTTATTGATATAATATGCAATATTCCCTCGATGATGTGTACTATTTTGATGTTATCTCTAAAATAGACCGTACTGTATTATACGACTGTACAAGTCTTTAGTATACTATGCGTGTCCCCCAACCATATTGCATTGTTCTTATTTTCATTTTAAAGATATTTAAACCTAGAATAGCATTTTATCGCGTTATATATAAACAGCTCATTATTTTACAGTGGTTGTAATATTCATTCGATACGTATAAAGTAGAAATTATGTTATACCTACCCATATTCCATAATATAATAACTAGATCGGATATTAGCACTAACGATATCTGCAGCATGTTCCAATGCCAATAATATAGTATCTTAGAAAAATCCTTGGCCAATATTCTGTATATTAGTATATAGTTCTGTATATTGTATAAAGATAATTCTGGGGATAATCCTAACTTTTTTTAAATTATAATTTTGTAAAATTGTAATGTCTTTTTATTCATTATTTAGTGAATTCAAAATATTACAATTAATTCTTTCTGATTTTAAATTAAAAACAAATAGGTACTTTCTTTAAAAATGAATACGTCTAGTTTAGTTTTTAGAAACATCTTTGAATTGTTATTCAAGTTCAAAATATTTTGTTTTCCGTTCCCATGCATTTCATATTTTTTTCTTACGATGCATGACCGAACTCCGGAAATATAATACGTTATAACTGATGAGTGATGGTTTTCGTATCTCTTATAACACAGATTTTTAATAACACATGTACAGTTTGATAATAATTAACAAAGAATACAGTGATAAAAGTGTATGTATATAAACAACAATAAATGAAAACCTATTTCAGCTAACGGAACTTTTATCAACAAAATTATAATTATTACTATGTTACTCAATTCTTTTAAATTTATTCAACTAAATAATTATTATGTTTTGTTTTAAATTCTAATAAATTTAAATTTATATTTTGTATTTTTGTAATAATGTTAATTTTTTACTTAACGGTATACATGAGTACGTGACCAATGAACCTTCTGCAGGTGTCTTTCATGCACATTAGAAATGTTTTCAGACATACTAAATCGGGTCAAAATGAATGGCTATGGTATGTCAAACTAGCGTGATACAATGTTTACGAATTACGATGATTTGCAAATTATATTCAAGTGTAAAGGTCGAAAAGAAATCTGGTAAATAAATAACATTGTTGGGAGGTCAAAAACCATAGAAAGTATACATTTCAGATATTTTATATTATACTATCTGTTATCATAAAATGCCTAGGTACCTAGGTATGTTAATTAATGATAAATCCAAAATTTTAAGCAACCAATAAAATATATGATTCAGTTATTTTATTAAAAAACCAAAAGATATTTAGTCAATAACAATTTAAAAAACAAATTTTACAAATTATTATAATCTTATATAATTAAAATTAGTTACAGTAGGTAATATAATAATCTAATATGTTGACATATATAATGGTCTTATGGTTAATGGTGTTTGTAAATTAATTATTCATTACATTTTATTTTTACTTCTTACCAATTATTATTACCTCAGACCGACGCGTTGGAACGTAAATACAAAACTGCTATTCATTCATAACGAGTATAACGTCTTGCATAAACTATAATCTAATCCGAGTCTATAATAAATTCTCTACGAACGTAATTTATTTAATAAATTCGGTTTATAAGACTGCAGTAAATTATTTATTACAGTGAGTTATTGAAAAATGTATGTGTAAGCTACTCATTTTATACGTCATGCCCACTACTCGGTACGCCACTATATAATTATAGATTAGGTACTGAGATCTTTATCCGTTTTCATTTATAATATACTTATTTAACTATTTATTGAGGATATTTTTGATTATTCTTCATAATTCCATCATACTTCGATTATTTATTGCGTTATATTTTTTTTAACATAGATAATAATATGTGTTTGGGCTGGATACAACTTTTTTTTCCAACCAATTTTTTTGCGTAACGTTTGCTTATCAAAACGAAAATCAATAAAAATAAAAAATAAAAACAAAACATATTAAATATCAATCTATAATTCTAAGATCATTAAATCCCTAACAGAATCTAGCATGCTTCTATGTATATTTTTCCACTACACTATACCCAAAAAACATATTTATGATTCCTCAATAAATTCTCCTTGCAGAGGAAAAATATTTATAGTAGCATGCTAATTTTTTTTTTATATATACAAATATATTAATTCAATTTATTTATTTTCCTTTTTTGTTTATTTTTGGTTTATGGCAAAAACTAAAATGTAAGATGTTGCTTATGAAAATGGTTAATAATTAATGACGGGAAATAAATTATTTTGATTCGTTTTGGTTGTCGCGCGTAAGGACATTACGCTGGTTATTTTCAGTCTATTGGAAAGCGTCATACCTATGTTTCGATTGACCAAAGAAGATGAGAAATATTATATAGTTTGGGTGAAACGAAAACGATGGAACCACTTATTTATAGAGAAATAGAAAACAGCGATACTTTCAACGCAAGTTGAATTCAGATTAACATTTTTGCTGCGTAAATGGCTACGGTTGATTATTTTTGCAATTCGATTTGCTCTACATTGTCTTTTTTTCATCGCCATTCTGAAATTGTATATGCGTGGACGTTTTCTATAACTGAATATAAATCATAGAATAATAATATAGTGTAGTTCTTTAGTTTTGAAAAGAAATACCTCCGCTCGTCAATGAGCAAACTCTAGGATATTAGTAGTCATCATGTTAACATAACGAACACCGAGAATAATATAATATAGGCACTTGAAAAGCTATTGGTGGGTTTCATAATATGCTGTATTTAAATACATAATATTATATTTATTATATGTCTATATTATTATATAACAAATACTTTTATAGTCTGTCGATACTGTCACGTACCTACTTATGTGTCAAAAAAAAAATAAATAATAATTCATATTTCAACTTGTATAGATCATAGTTAGGTACATTCAAAAAATCACACTATTCACATTTTTATTTTTATGAAAAATATATGTGGGTATAGTTGATTTTTCGGGTAAAATTTTAAATACTTTAGTATACCTACTTAATAATTATTTAGAGTTATCTTTGCAATGCTTGTAAAAAAATAGGTTCTCATAATATTTTTGTATTACTAGTTTATACTATTTGTTTAATGGTTGATTATGATTTGTTATTATCGTATCCTAACCTTGATTTTCTATTTTATTATCAAAAAAAAAAAAAAATAATTATAATAAATATCTTAAAAAAATATTATTTATTATATTTTTTATGGTTATAAAACTATTACTCTGGTTAAAAGTTCACGAGTACCTACTTAACGCCATACGTGGATTAGGGCGAAAATAGGTGTAGAAGCCTTTTTAAATTTAGCCTTGCTTTAATAACAATGGACTGACCTAAATAAATCTCTTACATTGGATACATTTAATTTTTCAAAGTTATAACATATACAAAAATATTAACATATTTTTCAATTGTTTGATAATCAATAAATTAAAAAATAATAGATATTTAGCTTATAATAAGTACAACACCATTATTATACCCTAGAAACTTTACACTCATGGTTTATTATTTCATACCTATAGGCTATATTGTGTATTAATAAATAAAACTGTAGGTATGTAATTATATTTTGATTTGAAAAATGTTTTGTACTATATCATAGACAAATTGTGAGCAATTTGTATGCAGGAAATATATTTATATTATGATTTAACCTAAGTATAGGTAGTCTTTCTGAAATATGCTGGATTTAGTGTTTACTGATGTGACAAAGATTCGTTCAATATTCATTATCATTTAGGAACATTGTCAGCATACGCAATTGTTTCTATCTATGTTCTACTGAATTACACAATTAATTAAGTACAATTACGGTTAACGTATTCAATATACAGTAGATATTGAACTGTTGTTGAATAGGTATACTTTAGTAATATGTGTCAAGTCTAGTTAACACTGAATGTGTATTTCGCGCGGTTTTTTGTATTTAACTGTACTCTCTCGTCTGTAGGTACTCAGTTGCATACTTGCACTGATGACGTATCAATATATAGTGAATGCTAACAAACCAGCGGTTTGGAGCAATAAGTATCACTATTTTAATAATCGCCCTTGACATGCAAAAAACTGGAACATGGTTAGGCTCATCTAAAATTTTGATACTTTTTTTATTTACAATGACTACGTAGGCGTCAAATCGAAAATAATAATTTAATTATCTGATTGACGGAAAATTATAGACAACTGCGTAGTATTGTTTATTTTACTTTAACATAAAATATAATATACCTACATATCTTATTTTAATTATAGCTGTCAATTTCTAAAAAAAAAAAGAACTAAAAACACATACTCAATAAAAATGTAATATTATAGTCATTCTAAAAAATACTACATTGATAGCTAGCTTAAACTAGGTACCTACTTATCTAATTTAAATTTCTGACAATGTTTAATACGTCATTACGTCATGATGAAACTACATATATAAAATACGCTATTATTTAAGTTATAAGTAGGTATGTTAGCTAAGGTCTAAAATAAATTAAAATCCTTAACATAATGTTTAATTTTTTTTTGTAGCATTCCAACTGTGTAAGGAACTATGCAGAGGAACACGTGAATCGAAGACAAGCGGCTGGGAAATCTAATATAAGCGGCATTGCGAGCATAGTTCTTCAATTACCAGCTGTACGATATTTACCCGGCGCTAAAGGTGGTACGTTTTTTGCTAGAGACAATGTTTCCAATTTCATAAATTGGTGCAGAAACGGACTTGGAGTGTTCGAGTGTCTGCTGTTTGAAACAGATGATCTTATAATGCGAAAAAATGAAAAACACGTGATCTTGTGTTTATTAGAGGTAAAATTGTATTGAACAAAAAAGTTTAAAAAAATATATAAAAATGAAGAAAAAAAATAATGGTTTTTATGGTTTTTTTTTAGGTCGCTAGACGTGGTGCTAGAGTTGGTGTACCAGCTCCGATGTTAGTACAAATGGAAAGACAGATTGATCGGGAAATCGCTGCAGATAAAAAGTATGCTCAATTTTCACAAGGAACTGACTTTAATGATGGTGACGATACAGATTTGAGTGACGGCGAAGACCTAACTGAATATGCGCCATTGCCTCAAATTGTTACTAATGATTTAAAAAGTTTGGATGAAATGGTAAGTGTGAAAATATTTAATGAATAATGAACAATATTTTATGAAAGAAGTTTGGATCGATATAGTATGTATATTATAATATAGAATTCATTGCTACTTGTTAGTTTTTACCTCATGGATACCTAACCTAAACTATACATCTATAGTCTATTCATTATAATATATACCTATTATATAATTTAAGACCTAATAATGCTCTACCTATTTAACCGTATAATGATATACTAAGTGTGTTAAACGTAGTATTAGAAAACGATTCTTCAATTTATTTTACATGTCAGAAGAACTAAAATACGAATTATTCATAATCATAATAATGTAATATTTAACCACAATTTTATATTCGTTCTACTCATTGATATAAGGTTAATATTGCAATTACTTATATATTGAGATAAGTACTGCTTGATTATATGATAAAACCACAAAAAGTATCGTAAATGTTACCTACTAAACTGAGAACTATACAATATACATTTGTTATTGTAAGGTGTCTGATAGTGTAATCACCTGTAGCTGTATGAATAATTTAATAAAGTAACGGAATTAAGCTGTGAATTATATACTGGTTGGCGGCGTAATATACAGGCAAAATTATATTATTTATTCTCAATTAAATATTGGACTAAAAGTAGGTATTTACCCTATGTATAAAGCAATAATTATTAATTAATTGGTGGAATCGAAGAATTTTTCATACCAGAAATATTTTGAAACGAGTAAAAATATCTAGAATTATGACATTAACATCGTTTATGTACAATTTTTGAAAGAATAAGTCATCATAAAGACGTGTATTGAGGCATTGGGCATTTACATAAAATTTCAACCAGTAGTACTTGAACTTACGAAGTATATTTTTATGATTACCTAATATTCTCGGACTAAACATAAAACATTACGCCCATATGAAATATTTAAATGCACGTATTATCATAAAAATTACTAGCATTGTTTATAGAGTTGAGATTAATTTTATTTGAATAAATTAGATATATTCGTACTTATTGAATACAATCAATTATTTCGAGATAACTTCATAATACTTCCTTTATATTATATGATGAAATACGTATATTTGTTTTATTCACATTTGTATTTTGTATAATGATTGAATTTATTTAGGTACATCTAAATAGACACAATACAAACACAACTATTCTGATATTTTGCTTTCAAACAGAATTAAATTACGTTTATTCAAATATTTAATCAATATTCTGGTTTACCTACGCTATAATATTATATAGCAGGTCAATATTATTTTAGCATCGAAAATCGGTGTCCAATAACATATAGTTTTATATTTTGTTTTGTTTACCGATATCATGATGATGTTCGTATAAAAATGTTGTTCCTTTACCGGCTTGAACGCCGCACATAACCTTGATTTTTATTGGACAAAAAGAAAACGTCGTGACACTGCGAATTAGTGAAAACAAAGCGTTAAGAAGTTGCCGACCTTATAGCCACCGGTGCAGCGTACCCGGGGCACAGCTAGCACGAACACAGTGGATTGTGATTGATACAACTACATCACATACAGCGGGCCCAACTTAATTAAAATTTAGTACAATGACATGAGAATAAATTCGATGCAATGCGCAGTTATAACGTTAATTAAAAAAAAAAAGAAAAGAAACATAAGTCGGCATCGCCACAAAAAGCTCAATGACAAACATTGTGCACTGCAATATTGCGTGAAAATATATTTTATCCGAACGAAATACTTTGTTGCTTAAATTGTATTTGTAGATAAAACCAATGTAGTATAATATTATCATGTGAAAAAATAATATAATACGAAACGCTAATACTGTAAAACCAGTTATTTCGGCAAACACTTCGTGGGTTGATAATCACTAGGTATTGTATAATATTCATATAGCTAATTCCTATTATTTTCTATTATAGCTTTATCTTACCATCAATGTACTATGCGTTCTTATTATTTGATGTACGATTAAAAGAGAACAAATTATAGTTCAAGTTATTACGTTATCTTAAAAATACTGATGATCATAGTAAATATTATGTTGAACAAATTAGTATAGTGATTACATGTATATTATATTAAAATTATCTCGTTTTAAATAATTTAATATATTATTTTTTTACACTAGTGTTTATCATAGTGGTAAGAAATCAATTGTAAATAGGTTACACATTATGTAGCGTAAAATTATTATGACAAAATATATACTTTTTTTTAAATTGTAATATCATAGATATTTTCTTAATACATTTATAATGAAGGTCAAAATATAGGAATAGGAAAAAATATTCAGTCTTAAAATCTGATATTTTGTAAATAATAACATAAAATGAAAGAAATTGTATATTTTCTTATTATTCATATAATATGGGTTAAACAGTGTATATCGGTTTCAACTGGAAAAAAAATTGTAAAATTATATTAGCTAGTTTGAATTGTTTAAGTACTGTTATTACTATATTATTTTTGGTCACTGATATGAAATTGAATTCACGAATTTCAGTAGAGTACTTTCTAATAACGATAATATTTTTCATATTATACTATAGGTCGCTGTGAAACATGGTAGGTACCTACATACATGTTCAGGTGCCAAATACAAATTACTGTGTTCGCCGTTCGGCGTGGTTGCCGTGCCCACAAAATCTCATCTTCTATTATTTTTTTGTGTTTTTTTTTATACATTAGCCAAACGTACGTGTAACCTTATTTTTCATTTCGTTAGGTACGGGATCTTGTGGAGAGGTGCAAGTGTCCGACCCAGTTCCCAATGATCAGAGTGTCCGAAGGAAAATACCGTATCGGCGATACTAAAGTCTTGATATTTGTCAGGGTGAGTACCTGTGTGCTGTGTATAATATAGTATATTATAATATGCAACCGTTTTTATAAAATATACTTATGTCGTTTGACTAATATATTATATTGTTGTTCTATTCGGCGTGCGTGCATAATAATATCATCCTTATATAGATACTGAGGAGTCACGTTATGGTCAGAGTGGGCGGAGGCTGGGACACACTGTCTCATTACTTGGACAAACACGACCCGTGCCGATGCAAAACTGGTAAGCCACATTTTACCTAAAGCGAAAGAAAACAAATATAATATGTAATGGGAAGAAAAACATATCGTGTCCGCTAAACAACACACCGTAAAGCCGTACGTTATTATGTGGCCGCATTTATAATATTATATACCTACGTATTAGTGTACCTACAGTTTAGATGGGCGGCAGGGAATAAAAATATAATACGTTTCCTACAAGGTCAACAGTAATAAAGTATTGGTGTAGGCCATTTGTCGGGCAATTGATTCTTGCGTAAAATGTCCCACTGGACACATTATAATATTGTGTTGTAGCGTCGTGTAGTTAGTTTTGGTCATGCGTTTGTTGTTTTATCGTTTTAAGCTTTTTTTTTTTTATTTTTTTTTATTGTTTTTCTTTTATTAATTTTACTTAAATAGCTCATCGAGCCCCGGTGTCTGCGAAACTGACGGGTGTCAGGAGCGGCGGGCCCACGTTGGAAATATCGCACGCCCAAGTACACTACGAAAGGTCAGTACTTTGTTGTATTTTATTATATTATTATGTATGTTTGTATAATACGTTTAGCATGTACCGAGTAGGATTTGCATGCAGTATATTATTATTCATAGGCATGTACAACTGCGCATTTATAATGCGGAAAGAGAAAAAACATTTAATAATCCATTTGGTTTTTTGTTCAAAACACATAAAAATCTTGTACATTTCGTTAGTAATTTTCTCCGACGGGAGCATGAGAAATATCGTGGCACTTCAAATAAACTCACTGACATAATAAAATCAGTAACGAGCGCTGACGAGTTTCAAAGTACGAGGCTATAATATATTATTATGACATCGCATTGCAGTTAGAACGAAATGCAGATAATCTTATAAGTTATATAACCAAATACGACAGTACCTATTATAAATACCACAGGGAGGTTATTTTTATTTCGAATGACGACGGCATTAGTGTTATAATTTTTTTTACTATAGTAATATTATAATTAGGACTGTGAATATAATGCATTTAACAAATATGAAGAGAGCCCTAAGAATAATAATACATAAATTCATATTGAATTTTTTTTTTAAATTTAAACTATTGAATTTTGAGTAATCGCAGTAACTTATTATGTAGTACCTACATATATAGATACTGTGTGATTTCTAAATTTCATGCTTATCACATTTTAAAGTTTAAATTATGATTTTTTGGACTTTTATGTGTAGTTAAAGACGATATTTTCAAATACTTCAATTGTTCACAACATTTAATAATATGAGTATCTTGTGGCGATACCAGCATTAGCTTTTCAAATAGGATCCTATATATTTTAATGTAAACTTTGAAACAGATGATTTTTCTGAATACTTTGACGTATTTTAATCGAAATTTGAACGACAAATGTCTGAGTTATTCTACTTTAAATGCTAAGCATATTAGTCATCTAAGTATTTGAAAATATCGTCTTTACAACTACACTTATAAATATTTTAAAAACCAGAATTGTGAATATATGCATAATTTAAGCATAAAAGTAGGTCTAGTGTGCTTAAAAAATCATCCCGTATAAAAGAGGGTATGTTGAATAATAGATTATAATATAATCTATGGTAATACATTTCATCTGACAATGGGTTTCTAAACACGTGTTAAAAAAACTTAATTTTTATAGTTTGAATATGATTTTAAATATTTTTTAATTTTATTTAAGAACAAAATATAAGCTTAGAAATCATTTGGAATTACTTGAGAAACTTTTATGAAACTGTAAATCCCTCATCCTATTTCAATTACAATTAGGAGTTATTACCTTTTTATTAGTACATACTTATAAGTTATAACACTTATAACTAATCATAAAGTTATTATCAAGTATAGCATTGCCTACACTTGAAATCAAAGAGGAGTAGCTTATGCTATTGGTATTTAAGTGGTTAAAAGTGTTAACGGTTATCACTTATCACTCAAGTACTCGACTGAAGTTTACTTATATTATCTTCAATTTTTCATTATAACCGTATACACTATACAATAACTAATAAGGAAACATAATATACTATTTGTAATAAAGTCAATACACAATTTACTGCCTTCTGAGTTTAGATTCATATAATTTTATTATTGTATTATAGCTACATATTCACAGCCCTAATATTATACAACACTGCAGCGTCTGTTTCGCCCTACAGTTCCGTACAGCAATAACATAATATTATAATGCTATATAATTTACCATATCCGTATATACATGTATTGTGTGTGTGTGTATAATATATAGATCACCGCCGAGAACACGACGCTCGTCCACGTCCAGCACGGGCAGCAGCGGTAACGGTGGTTACTCCGGCGGCCTGAGCCTGACATCCGGAGGCCTGGCCACGGCCAAGAGGGCGAGCCGCCGCCGGAGCCGATCGCCGTCCCCTCGGCCGACCGCTAAACTGAGCGCACCCGTGGATGCGGGCCGCCGGAGCAGAAGTCCCACTCCTCGACGGGCCACCGACCACTTGGCCGTGGCCAACGCGGGCTGCAGGTCCAGGTCGGTGACGCCCAGCGGGAGACGTGCACGGCGGTCCGCGTCACCTTCGTCCGCGGCCGTTAACGGCGGCGGCGAACGTCTGCTGCATGTGCCAAACGGACAGCGACAGTCCTGCAACGACCGCAGCCGTTCGCCGTCGGCGGCGCGCCAGCGAAGCGGAGTGGACGACACCCCGACGCCGAAGATATCGTTGAACTTCACGCCGGAACTGGCCGCCGAGTTGGGTGACCGGTTGCAACGATCCTCCAGAGAGTCATCCGTGGACATAGTACAGCAGCGCGAGACCGGAAAAACGGGCGACTGCGACGACGACGACTGCGACGATGACGACGACGACGACGATGATGTGACTGTGGACACGTCGTCCACGTGCCGTGTGTCGGATAACTTCCGTGGCACCGGACAGTACCACGTGCTGAACCCCATGCCCGTGACGGCCATTGGCGAGAGGCGGCACTCGACCGTCAGGGAGGAAGAGTCCGTGGTGGACACGACGCCGTTCAGCCGCGTGTCGGACAGCCTGAGGGTGGCCGCATACGATAGTCCGCCGTCGGCTGGTCGGAAAAAGTCCCAAACGGCCCGCGGGGACGTGAAGAAGTCGGAACCGGTCGGCACGGACAGCGGCTCGGAAGTGTCGGACGAGGGCTACAGGAGCCTGGGAGTGGTAGCTTCGCCGCCGTTCAACTCTAACGTGAAACACGTGCAAAAATCAAACGGTAAGCGTCATAATATTATATTATGAAAAATATCGTTATAGGTATGTCTCGTTCGTGCGAGGGACTCGCTATGCGATAATAATAATTCAAATCTATATTATAATACAAACATCGTACATTTGTCTAACCCCAAAATAACCGTTTTTTGTATTTTAACCAATTCAATCAATTTGAAAAAAAAAAACTCTAAGTTTGAGCCTTTATATGATTCATTTTGAACGTATAATGTTTATTTCCGTTTAGTGTAGACTGTACCTATATACACTATGTAGTATGTATACATTCTACACTAGATTTGATAAATGTTATACATTATTCAGTCACAATTATCTGTTTATAAACACCGTTTATAATATCATTAGCATACATTATAAATGTATAGGTACAATAATATATTGCTTTCGGATCGTTGACATTGGCATTGACGTGATGTATGTCAGAGAAAATTCTATTTTAATAATACCTATATGTACGCGTGTAACGTATCTGGGGGATTGTGTCGTTGACCTAAACGTTCATAATATTATACGAAAGAAGTTTTCGATATTTTTTAGATTGGCCCGCTATTCGCCTATAGGTATCTAAATAATAATAATAATGTTATACGATGACCTTAACGTACGTTATAAATTAATAAAACAATAAAACATGCTTAACAAATCACAATGAAAATAGTTCGGTATTGATATTCCCTTTAATCGGTACGTAGGTAATAGTTGTAATATTTTCGTCTCCGGGTCATTATATAATTATCTAACATTTTAAATTATCAAACCTTAAATTTTTTTTTTAGTATTTTTATTTTTAAACAAGAAAATATATTTAAATTCTCAGCTCAACAGACACGATGGCTAATTAACGTAACATATGTTATAATTACTCATGAGTTAGGACCACCACAAAGAGTTAATTATATGCAATAATTAGTTTTGTAATGTTACGATACAGGTAACATCCTACGCGTATAGCCACAAGCGTTTTGTCACGATTGGTAATCTCGTTTTAATATACATTTTAAATTATACTGAAATACTCATTCTTATGGGTTTATTATAGTATAGTCGCGTAATAAACGTGTAAACAATAAGTAGATTTGTATGTACATATTAATATCATACGTATGTTTTGATAAAACTGCTTTGCATTTTGGTAGAATACTTTTTCGAGTCTCGTGCATGCATTTTGAATTGCCTTGTATATACTCTTAATATAGTCGCATATACTTAGAATTATTCATAACCATAATATCATAGTATAATATCTGATTGTGGTTAAAGTTTATGAATGTAATATTATGTGAGAACTCGCAGTCGACACGAACACCAAAGGATTAAATCAGGTAGGATGGATTGCAATAATATGTTGATGAGGTGGCAGTAGAGGTACACGATGCGGTATATAGTAATGTAATAAACGTCTCCCCACCTGTACGAGGAACATCGCAGTTTACAAGCGCGGGAACATTGCAATAATAGTATTATTACATTTTACCTGGAAAATGTTATTTCGCATCTTGTTGTGATTTCTCAACGCAAAATGATTATTATTATTTAAATATTATTATTATTAGGTACTTTTTATATTTAATACTGGTAGGCATATTATTATTAAGCTGATTGAGAAATATCCGATGGTGACGACCATTCACTTACACATTAGTCTCGTCGCCGTTATCACTGTTGGCACGATATACATTTATGTATGCGTGTAATAAATTATAATGCATACCTATGTAAAATATATTATATTATTATATAGGTATCATATATTTGAGCGGTTTACGCAAGCTGGATTTATAGCTTAACTCGAATTTCAAAACTACACGAAGTCCATAAATATTCTCGTCTCGAACGCTGTCTCCAGATTTAGTCGACCAATCCCTTATAGTACCTATACATAACTGTCATGCAAACACCTTCCCACTGTCCAGACTACTGTGTCGAAACCCTACGTGGTTCAACATGTTTTCAGTTGGCTGGGCCATACATCATCACGTTTATTATATATATTATAATATGCATAATATAGGTACAATAATAATATATACATACACGCATATTCCAGCGAATAATTTAATTCACGCGCATTTGAAATGTTATCTCGCCCACATTTTGACACGCCGAGCCAAAACCACGTACGTACGCGGCGCAGCGATTTGGGTTCAGATTTTTAAGAAAAAAAAACGTTTTTCTCAACCCGTCAAAATTGCCCACGCGCGCACCATACCTGTTTGATCGGACTGCACTCCGATCACGGTGGAATAAGCAGTTGCAACAGGAATGCCGGGTGCCTTTACCTATAAATAAATGCATATACCTACGTTTTATCCTGCAGAACTGGAATCGAAGGGTGTGTAGCTCGAAGCGGTGCCGGTAAATTATATTAGTAGGTACCTATTATACTAATATATTATTACGCGTTATACGTAAATTATATTATTATTACATATTATTAAGTAGGTACGTGTACGTCTACGTAGGCACTGCCCGGCATTGGTAAATTTTCGGACGTTAAAGATATAATACTGCAACATAGTGGAATAAACGCTCATAATAGCTGTAATAGTGATTTGATTATACAATTTTTGGACGAAGAAAATTATTTTTATTTTTTTATTTGCATAACTTTTACCTCATAAAACATATTTTACATAATAGTTTCGAAATAATAGAGAAATAAGCGCATACACGATATTTAGTTTACAGTCGTTTTATACCAACATTATATTCGAAAGCGTGCGCGCTTAACATCAAACGAAAAGTGGTTTAATTGTATTTCGAGAAAAACGCGTAATGTTTAAATAATACTAAGACATCGTTGTTCGACGTTATGTGATCTTGAAAATAAGAAATAATAACTTTTACTTGTCAAATTAACAATGGAGAAAAAAGAGGGAAACGAATGAAAAGCGTAGCCAGGTCAACGTAATAATAATAATAATATATAATACAGTTTTTGAATAAACCACAAACGTAAACGATATAAAAAATAAATAAAAACCGTCGGTATAATACTTTCGTGTATTCCTTATAATGAGCATAATAATGGCACATGGTGTTTAGTCTTTGTCACCGCGCACGTATACGCGAGTTAATTGATCGCTCCGCTCGATGTCGGTTAGATATTAAAGGGTGGTAACTGATTATTTCTAATTTTTATTAGAATTTATTGTATTTTTCAATTGAAGAAAATTATGGTTTATATACCATTGACGTATATAACTGCGAGAACAGTATAAATGTATATTATACATATAGTATGTGGATGCCTCGATTGCCTCGCGGCGTAATATTGTGCAATTCAAATTCCAAGCCATATATTGGAAAGAAAAAAAATAGCTCACAAACTGATCGGGATGATCGCAGCTTTCTGTGTTTAAATAATCACCCTGTAGGCATAGCCGAGGGGACGTTGAAAACTGGAACGCAGTAGTCGAGCAGGCGAGCAGCTCGACTCGAGCTCGCGGTAATATCTATCGCAGATTAATTTTTTCAACTATCGTTCTCGTACCTACCTGCAGTGTGCATGCGCGCGCACGACGATCAAACGAATAACCCACCGGCGGCACTGCATTGGCGTTTTAATTAATTAATAATAATTATCAATCTTGTGTGATTTACGTTGCAGTCGATAGTCGATACCCTTGGGGTGGGGATTACGCTGTACCTGTAGGTATCTATTATAAATTACGGTCGTCCGAGCACGACGGCGTATTCAACACTAACCTAACCCAACTTCGCACTGACATCTCTTGCGTGCGTACACCGATTATAAATTATAATGGAATATAATGTTTTCCCGCCGTGCACGCGAATCGGCGGACGTCTGAACGTTTGGGGGCTCACGATCCGCGGAGACGGCCAAAATACGAATAGCCGCGGGGAACGGCGCAAACGACGTCGATCGAGAGACGGAATTAAAAAATAATTATATATATATACATTTTATAATTTGTTATGTTATGTACAATATCATAATAATATATATACCTACGCCACGCCGGGCGCATAATATAATACTTACACACATTTTATTATTATTATTATTATACGACTTTACCGTCCACACTGTCGGACACGCCTATACATTTTTTAACATATATTATAAAATATAATAATAATACGTATGCCGTAATCGTCACCGCGGACGCGTCTGCACGACGTCACGCTAAACCGCAGCGCGCGCACTCGTAATAGTCGTCATCGTCATTGTGTTATTATTATTTATATAGTAGTCCGCGGGACATAGTACGCGCTGCGACTGATTATTATTATGTAATAATTAAATAATGGCGAGATCCGGCGCGCATACAATATCGACGATGGTTCCTTGTGGTAAAAATACACAGTTTCCGCCCAAAGTTAAAAACAGTTGTGCAAAAAAAAAACAAGTAATAGAAAGTAGAAACGGTCATAATAATATGAAAGATACCTATAGGTATCCCGGTTTAATTGATTTCGTCGAGTAGATGAGAATGCCATCGCCGTGGATCAGCTGCTCTGTTAGACGATCTGTCGGACGATTAGGTATATGGCCAAAATACTATATAGAATTTGGCAAATCTCAAAATTTTGTAAAATGTAATACTAGTTCCTAATTACCTACCAGTTTTAATGAATAAAGTAAATTTATAGAAGGTGCCTAATAACTGTAGCAATAAATGTCTGTAATTCAAGAAATATAGGTAAAATAAACTACTAAATATTAATAATAGTATAAAGTACTGTCACACTCTATATAATAATAATAATCATATTGCACAACCCTGCGCCGACTTCAGGAGGAGGGTTCTAGGAAAAATAATACATAATATGAAATCCTTGCAAGTTATAAGACCACTTTATTATAGAATGCAATTAGGTGAGGGATAGTAATGCTATTCCCCCTAATGCGACGGTTCAAACAGAAAAAAACGTGTATGCAGAAGAATCACCTCTTACCATTAGTTAGGTTACTGGTTACAGGCGATTACAAATAGTATTGCCTAACTATTCCACGTAAATATATAGCTTATAATATGTGAAGAGTATGGTATGCTCATGCTGTGTGACGGATCTCAGGAGTGTCCTGTTTTTCAGTCAACCGTGTTTCAAAAAGGGCAAACTTGTCCCAGGGTCGAAATCATATATTTATATTATGTTTTGTACACCGAGTACCCGAGCGTATAGTATTTACGCTTGTCTCTGTTTTAAATTTTTCGCGACCTATTTACTGAACATTTTTATATAAGTGACTATTCCCCAATAGTCTTATTTAACTGTATCAGGACGTATACTAATATACCTAGTTCACAGGCTTAACCTCCCATATAATTTACATCTACCATAATATTATCATATACACCTAATCTGACTTAACCATACTTAACCTTTACCTCATCGCAGTGTGTCACCGTTATGCGTTTGGTTTCAGGCACGCCACCAGTTACTCGAGTGACGCGGCCACCTCGAAGTCGTTCGGCGGGCGGCAAGGATACGCCCAGCCCGCAACAGTCGCCGTTCCGCCGGAACCGTTCCACCACCCAGTCGTCGAGACACCAGCAGCCAACGCCAGCGCCGGCGTTCGGACGGTCGCAGACGCCGACGCCGAGCCGCCGGTCACCCGCACCGTATTCGGACGGCGGCCACCACCAACCGCCGTTTTCGACGTCGTCGACGCCGGCCACGCCGATGCTGGGCCGGAACAACACGTGGAACGCGGCCGGTGGCCGGCACTGGTCATCCAAACAGCGGCCGCAACTGTCGGCCGACACGTTCTGTCAACAAGTGGCCGACATCATCAACCGGTACGCAGTGATGGCGCCCAGTCCCCGGAAAGACTCGAAACCCGATTCGCCGATCGTCACCAGGATACCGGCGCCCGTCCAAAGGACTTGATCGTTTATCGTTGTCGTCATCGTCGTCCTCGTCGGTCGTAACGACGAGTCCGCCGCGGTTGAATCGTCACCGCGGAGGGGCTTGGTGGAGGGGAAAACCTCTTGTTTAAAAATAATAATAATAAATACCCCGTACGCTCTTTGGTTTTTCGCCCCGCTTGAGGCGAGTCCGTGGTGGTCAGCAAATATATTAACAAAATTGTATTGTTATCGAATTTGTGTGATAATATTATTGTTGTGACGCGACAATCTGCTGCTGCTCCACACCGGCACGCGATAATAATAATAGGTCTATTTATTCGGAACAACGACGATGACGATAATGACGTGACGACGAATATGATATTATTATGTTTATGTATTTAAAAAAACGTTTGATTGTTATTGCGATTACGCTATCGTTTTAAGTGTTGTTTTTTCTGCGATCGGATTGTATTATTATTTAGGTAATAATATTATCATTATCGTCGTGCGCATATTATATTTATTATTTATTGTACGTCGTTATAATATTATTATTTAGGTGCGTAAATTAAAAATATTATTTTGTTGTTATGTGTTTGTCGACGATGGCAGACGGGGAAGACAATATATTATATTATGCTTTTCTCGCGCGAACGAATGGTGCTAAAAACCGACCTTAATTAGTGTTACGATTATAATAATATATAATATTGTATAATATTATCGTCATGTGGGTACCCCTACCTACGATAATATTGCAATATTATTAAGGGTTGACACAGTGGCGAACCCGTGATTTCTTATTTTCGGAGGGGTCGTAACGGTGAAAACACTGTGCTTCTTACCCCCGTATAACGAACTCATTAAATACTCTTTAAAATAAATTATTCAGCGGTGTGTTGTACACGACCCCTTGAACTCCCTTCCACTTTTGCGTGCGTCACTGGGTTAGCGTGTGTGTATTAGTTATCATTATTATTATATTATCATTATATATTATTATTAAATATTATATTATTATTATCATTACCAACATGGTAAATTATATGTATAGCGTATCTTGTGTATATGCTTATATAATATTTATGTATATTATTACCGCTGACTGTACGATTTTTGTTAGAACACGATCTTCATAATATAGAATCTATCTATATTATAGATATGTATGTAATATATTTAAATGTTATGAATATATAATAAAAAAAGTATATACATATAGATGTGGGGTAAATTTACAATGACTAATTAATATATTATGTTTTATATTATTATAATATAGATCGGTAATTGTTTGTAATATCTATATACGTGTAGGTAAATATAATACGAATGTGTGCGCTATTGTTGATCATAGTCGTTTCAAATTGTGAACTCGTGTACCCATATGCAATGAAATATTATATAGTATTATCCTGCCGTATCGACACACATCATATTATGTATTATTACGTAATATTATATCATATAGACAATTTATTACATACATATTATTCATATACAGAGGCATTATATTCTAAATTAGCTAAATATACTAACAAAATTGTTGAGGAATTTTTTCGTTTATTTTTTATTTTACTATCATTATATATTTAAAATTTTTCTTATCATATAATTATATCATACCGTGTACGATATACGATCGTTTTTCCGCGTCCCAATATTGTTACAAGACGCACAGACTCGCACGGAGGACACCGTAAAACGCTCAGAAAGCCAGCGATTTTATGATTTTTTCTGGTAACGTTAATCAGCTGGCCGGCGGTAACGCTGTTTCAGGTACGGCTCCGACAAAACGGGTGTATATCAGGGTAAGATACGTGGTCGATTATACCTACATTCATCGCAAACGTAGTCCGTGGCACGGATATACATCTGATCTATAATACAGTTTGTCGGGCGGTCTAGGACGAATTGCCATTTTTTTTTTGTTTGCTGTCGCGTTCCTGGCCGACGCCGCCGCCGTGTTATAACCAGTTTTATGTATAGGTACACAATCGGGTATCATAGGTATACAACATTATGTACCCGCAATCACCGTGCGTAGCTCGGATGAGCGTGTTTTTTTTACCATTTCAATGTTATATTAATATATTATGCATATAGCCCGGCGTGTGTGTGTTTTTTCTATCACGAAAATACGTTAAAACTGATTTTCGCGTGTACGCGTATATACATTACTCAGTACTTAGATGCGTATACTATTATATTATGGTATTATTATAATAGGTACATCATCATATTAATATGTTATTATGTACACACATTTTGTAACGCGCACAAAGCGGCGGCGGCGATCGACAGGACCCCGACTATGAAACAGTAATAATAATAATATATTGTAACCTCCCGCATTATAATTATTTATGAACGACACGACCGACGACGACTGGTCAAAATCATATTATTGTGTTCGTATACAACTATACTCTTATTCGTGCAACAATCACGCAATTCAATCTCATGACAATAATAATAATAATTATAATAATATTATTGTATGTACACACGCCGAACGACGATGCGTTGGTCCGTCGGTCCGCCGCAGCAGCAGCCGCGAGAGGAGAGGGCAATAATTGAACGAAAAGTACGACCATATACGACGACTAAAATATATAATATAATAATATACTCTGTTTGGTCGTACGTCATATATAAGTGAAGGTACGCCGTGTTCCATATTCTACGGAGTGATCCATCAGAGACACTCTCATTCGTTATTTCAGAAAACTACACTAATGTTTTTTTTTTTTTTTTTAATTTCTGTTATACAGTGTTATCTTATGTGCTACATTTTTTGTACTATTATTTATACCTTTTTAGTATTTATCCGAAGCAGAATATTATTTGGAGTATTTCGATCTATAAATATCAAATTTTGGACAGGTGGACACGACGTATAGTATTATAGTTGTTATAAGTCGCAAGTCATAAACTACTCAACTAAAATTCGTTTTTTTTATGTATCGGAGTATTTCATAAAATATTGTTTTTTGGACAGAGATAATTAAAATTACATGTGGTCATTGCAGAAAAAAAAAAGACAAAGATAGTAAAAATCTAAAAAATATATATTTTTAACTACGTAAAACTATGTAAAAAAAAAATATGTTGATAAACGGTTGTGGGTTAGGTACATATATATAGTTTTTGAAATAACAAATGACTCACGTTAAATGGATCACCCGGTATATTATGTCGTTTACGACAAGCCTGACCTAACGAATATTAATGGACGTTTTTCGTGCTCCTCCCGTCGAGGCGAGAAACAATCCGGGAATATAATAATATTATAATTGCACAATTATTACGTTTTTTGTTTTTAAACGAAACGAGATTTATGTACTCGCGTTAATTAACGTGACGATCACATTTAAAGTTATAGTTGTGCCGCCGCTGTCCGAACACTCACGCGGGTGGGTGGTGGGTGGTCGTTCACACGTCGATTATATTACGTATAATATATTATACGAGCAAGGTTTTTCGTTTAATTTTATTCTCTGCGTATGATAATAAATGACGATTCTCGGGTTTTTTTTATTCATTATTTTTTTCACTCTCGCCGTATCCAAAAGTCGTCGTCTTCAAGACGTTTTAATAAGTCCATCGATCATCACATATTATATAATACTGCAGAGATTGTCGTCGCTCAGTGGATCGCGTGGAAATTATAATAATATTCTCGTTCGACGACGTTTCGGGTCGAGCGTTCTTCGTCTGACCACTCTGACGTTTGACGGACACTGCGATATATTATGCATACATAGGTATTAGGTAATATTTTGCAATGATTGTAATGCCATCGAATTCACCTACCGCGCTCATGTCGTGCCAAACAATATTGGAAAATAAATATTTATTGAATTTTTTTTTTTTTGTTAATTAATCACGACCGTCGTGCCGAGGAATCTTCAGTGATACCTCAAGCAACAACTATTACAGAGATTGATAGAAGTCAGTATTCGACTGAGCATACTATATATATATACACATTATACAGAAAAATGAATTCGAATTACCGCGTTTTTTAAATTCTTTAGTACGAACTTAGCTTACATATTATGATATAATAAATGTCAAACGTTTGTAGTCATTTTAAGAGATTTTACATTCTTGAAATATTGAAAATTATGTTTATTCTTTGATGTGAGGGCTATATTTTGGCCGAAAATATTAATGCAGACAGTATTTTAGACTGTAACTGAACGGCTGACAATATAGTTACACATTACACACTGTTGACTGTATATTATTGTAAAACTGCATAATATTATTATGTTTTATTATGCTATTACACTTTTTGCGCTTTGGGTTGACAATATTTGTACGCTCCCCCCCACCAAAAAAAAAAAAAATTATCCGTTTTTAGTTGTTTAGTTATTTATGAAAATTTTGTTAAAAACACAGATAATGATGATACATTATTTTAATTATTGTAAAAATGTATGGGTCCTCAGGAAACAATATAATATATATATATATTTTTTTTTTTATTAAAAATAAAGTCTTCGACAGCGGAGGTCATTAGTCTGCAAATGTTTACATTGGTAGGTTAAAAGAAATTTGGTAGCTTAGAAATAGTAATACATTATTATATACATAGTAAACAAGAAAGCGGAAAAAAAAACAGGAGTATTTACAGATTGCTTATAATAAGTTGGATAGTTTGATGGCATTAAAAAAGTTGAAGATAGCATCGGTGTTGGTTTCCCCGAGTGCTTCTACGATGTTGAAGGGGTAGTTTAAGATGCTTCGTTCGTTGTTGTACTTGGCACAGCTGAATGTGAGATATTCAATTGTCAGTGGTAGGTTACATTGATGGCAGGTCGGATGTTCTTCATGGTTGAAAAGGAAAGAATGGTTGAGATGTGTATGGCCAATTCTAGCTCTAGTTGTGACAATAGACAGAGCTGTGTTTATGGGGGATAGCCATTTCTGTATGGTTTTTTTTTTTATATTTTTAAATTTGTTATCAGAGGTACTGTCCAATTGTGATTATCACTGTTGGTTTGAGATTAGGTTAATTATTCTTGATAC